TGATGTCACTACTGTGCTGCTCACTGTTATTCTTGTTGGGGGTCCTGACAGGAGGAAGCAAAACCTTGCCTCTACTAAGATGTCTGTCTCCACACAGAGTCACAGTCAGTAATGGGTAAGCATCAGTTTCAGGGAGACCACAGGCAATACTGGTGACTAGTGCTTTGCCTTCTGCCTGACGTTTTCTGGGCTCAACTTCCAGAGTTCAGTTCCTCTAAGTAAATGGGAATCTACTGACCTATGTGTGGTGTGCGTTTGAAAGGCACATCAGATGCAGGAGAGCAATGCCCATTTACATGAGCCCTTACAGAGCAGTCAGACATGTCACAAGTAAAAGTAATTTTAATCCTGCATATGCATTTAAAAAAGAATTGTGTATCAGACAGGAGAATAAATAATATATCCAAACACAGCCTGATACACATACCCAGTCACACATTAGAATGCACACAGCTGCCTAATGGCATACATATTAACATTAGCGTATTACTTTCTCACCCCGCCTAGAGAAACTCGCTTTATCACTTAACTGCTTTGAATATTCTGTGTCTGGAGGGGACATAACTGTTTCTACCCCGGAGAAATAACTGACATTACCAGTTTACTAAGAAAGTACATTATAGTGGTAAATGCAGTTGATATATACACTTTGTATGAGATATACACACTTTTTATGAATATTCCACAATTGACACAGGTTCAGCTGGTTTATACTTATAGCAATAATGCAGGAGGTAATGAGCGACATGTATAGACATACAGGTACATCTATGTAAAAACTGTTTGATTTTAGTATAATATTTTTATTTTATCCTAGCAAAACTGTGTCTGGTCTAAAAGGGGAAAGGGTGGGCATATAACAAACAATGCTAAAGAGGTATATATTGACAGTATGTGCAGGAGAGTAGTGCAGGGGGGTGTGACAGTTGCAGTATGTGCAGGAGAAGAATTCAGAGTTTATGACAGCAGACAGTATGTGCAGGAGAGGAGTGTGGAGGGGATGACAGGGGCAGCTTGTGTAGGAGAGTAGTACAGAGGGTATGATAGCAGGCAGTATGTACAGGAAAGGAGAGGTGGTGGTGGTGGGGGGCGGCTGACAGCAGGTAATATGTACAGGAGAGTGATGTGGACAGTATGACAGGGGGCAGTATGTGCAGCATGGAAATGTAAAGCGTATGACAGCAGGCGGTGTGTTATGTGTGTAAAAGGGGAGTACAGAAGGTATGAGAGCAGACAGTATGTACAGGAGACTGGTGTGGACAGCAGGGAAATACAGATCGTATGACAGCGGGCTGTATATGAAAGAGAGCAGTGCAGGTGGTGTGACAGTGGGCAGTACGTGCTAGAAAGGAATGAGGAACCCATGGACAGCGGGCCGTATGTGCAGGGGAGGAGTGTGGACAGTATGATAATGGGCAGTATGTGCAGGAGGGTATGACAGCTGGCAGTATGTGCAGGAGAGGAGTTTGGACAGTATGTTAGTGGGCAGTATGTACAGAAGAGGAATGCAGAGTGTATGATATCAGACAGTGAGTGCAAGAGAGAAAAGGGAAGGGTATGATTGAGGGGCAATATGGACAAAAGAGGATTGCAGAGGTTAAAGGAGAACTATGAGGTGAATGCTTTTCACTCACCTCATAGTTCTAGCCGACCTGTGACAATGAGACTGTCACAGGTCGGCTCAGTAGATCGGGAGGTGAGCGAACACATACCGGCGTTCGCTCACTTCTCGATTGCAGAGAGCCGTGACAGGGGAGGGGCTGGATTCCCCCCTCCCCGCTCCGATCCTCCAGCGCTGACTGGTGGAACGGACGGGGGAGGGAGCGGGTACAGCTGGCTCTGCCTCTAGATAGGCAGAGCCAGCTGTCAGTCACGCAGCCGTGTTTACTATATCCACAATCATGAATGAACAGGAGGTGATGTAGATCACTTCCCATTCATTCATAATTGGGGAAACAGTAAACATACTCTGTCCTCAATTATTTATAAACACTCAGTGATCACTGATCGCTGAGTGTTTGTACCTGCTCTCCATCCTGACACGTTGTCACAGGAGGCTGGGCGGGACGGTGCGGGAGGAGAGCTCAGCCTCCTGTGACAGCAATGGCTGTCTCCACCCACACACCGCTCTCCTGATCTGTGACAGGAGGCTGAGCGGTGCTCACAGCGCTCTCCTCCTGCACCGTTCAGCCTCCTGTGACAGTTGCTCTCCTCTGCGCTGGGACACAGAGCAGAGCCCAGCAGGAAGGAGAGAAATTACGGATGCACCGCTATTTCGGTCAAAAAATTGCACTTTCGGCATTTTGTCAAAAGTGCCATTTTCAGCCGATATGTTTCAGCGGCTAATATATCGGTGCATCCCTAGTGGATGTACATCGCTGGATGCAGACATCTATACCTGTATGTCAGTATATGCTCAGAGCAGAGTTTACCAGTGTAAAGCCACAGCTTGTAATTGATTTACACAGGTGGGCTGTATGTAACACCTGTAGCTCCTGGGTGCAGAGATTCAGCTGTTTTTTTACATAACACAGACATCTGCACGCGTGTGCATAAGCCCTAAACAAGCTTTTCGCAGGCTTAATCGACCTAAAGGGTACTGGTAGTATACTACTGTGTGCTGGATGGGGTTTTGCCATAATGTGCAAGTATGCACAGTATACTTGCACATTATGACACACTTGCCTTACAAGTGAGCTCTTCTCCAGTGCTGTGCAATAAATCCGCTGTCCCCCATTAAGTTCCCCATTGCTGCCATCTTTGCCACTTCCAAGTTCTGTGGAAATCCTCTTCAACCATTGGATGCCCACTGATGATATAACTGATAACTCCCACGCATGCAGACAGGAAATAAATCCTCCACAGCATCAGGCCCACTCACAACGTCTTAGGCCTGGTTCACACCTGGGCGTTTTACAGCGCGTTCCTACGTGCTGTAAAACGCTCAACATGGGAAAACCAATAATTGTCCATGGGCATGGTTCCCACCTGGACGTTTTACAGCGCGTAGGAACGCGCTGAAAAACGCCCTACGCCCAAAGAAGTACAGGAGCTTCTTTGGGGCGTATTTGTCGCCCGCGTATCCATTAGGATACAGCCGGCTAGCCTTTGGAAACGTGTGCTTATTCCGTACGCCCAGGTGTGAACCCAGCCTTAGAGTTGCTGTGAATGAGCCAAGAGTGTACACTGCACATTGCATGCACTGTACAGTGTACATTCAAAAAATTAAAAATAGCTAGGGGAAAGAGGGAGAACTTTTTAGGCAGAAGAGACTTTACATGTCTTCCTACCTTCCAGCAATTTTTCATTTTTAACTTTATTTCCACTTTTAATCCTGCTGGACGCTTGTAAAAGCCTGCTAAAAGCTCAGCATAGAGACACTGGCTTTGCCTATTTAGGCCAAAATGACAGCATTTGTGTATTCACCTCTCCAGCTATCCCCTACTGCTCCATCCTCTGTCACAACCATCATGTACAACTATACATTCCTTTTAAAGTAATCTTTAGCTTTAGTCTAGGAAGGTTATACAGTATATAGGTCTTAGTGGGAGCTCTGATTGTAACTTTAAAGAGAAACTGTCACTTTGCTTATTTCAGTGTAAAGCCACTCTCTCTACCCACTAATACTTCTCCAGTGATCCCCCACCGCTCTTTCCTCTGTCGCAGTCTGTGACTGGTATAGAGGGGTATGTGACCTTCTCCCATGCTTGGGCTTAGTGATGTAGTCACATCAACTTTTTAGCACCAACATGTCCTTCATTTTGAAATTTTAAAGTTAGGAGGTATGGTATGCCTGCTTTTATTATAACATAGGATTTAGGATCAGGGACTTGGCTTTCCCACTTATACTTAAACATCAGCACAGCACCAGCAAAAAATGCCTAGAGCTGCCATCAGTTTTCCATTTTTGTTAGGTCCCAAAACAATATATTTCTAAATTCAAAGCAATAAGATGAATATCATAAATATATTGTGATTCTCAATATTACAGTGGAATATACAAACTGCACTTCTCTGAACTGGTAAATGGAAAACATGAGGTGGGCATAGTTCAAGTAGAGAGAAGACAATGGATCTTAAAGCAGTGAATAAGCTCAGTGATCCCAAGTGAGATATATCCACTGCTCAAGAGTAAGCATAGGCTTGCTTTATCTGAACAACTGAGCTGTTAATTGGTGTAATTTGGGGAAAAATTGGTGCAGCCTTGATTACTAATAGCATTTGGGAACTTGTTTTCTTATCCTTTGATTATCAGCATAATCATGATCAATAGAATGTGTACTTATGCAGCAATGTACCTTTTTACAGTAACATCCTAAATGCACTTTCTATTTATAGCACAATCCTTTATATTAATCTTAATCTTAAACTTAATCATTAGGGTTTGGGAGCAGATCCTTTTCAGATTCTGTATTTTTGTTACTGAGTGATTGTTAAAAAAAAATCATTTTATTTGGCTTTTTTCTGGGTTCAAAAAACACTACCTATGTTTTAGGCTTCCAATGACAGAAACACAAGTGATAAAAAATAATTTGCAAGGAAACCTGTTCCTAAATACGGGAAGTGCCATAGCTCATATCTGACCTCCTTCAATACTTTCTGACACCGTAACATGCACCAAGCATATTGATCAGTAATGGAACTTAGTCATAGCTCCCAATATGAATACTGATTTCATGTGAAAGCAGTGAAATCACTGGATATTAAAATGACAGACAGAGGGAAACTGTGTTTTTAAAAGTAGAGGTCAGTAAGGTCCCCCCCCCCTTTTGCTTTAGGTTTCCTAATTCTAAGAGCTGAAGTTGCATAATACGCCTATAGCACTGTCCACTGGTGAATCTCAGATTGTCGTTTGTCCTTCCACATGTATTGATATTGACACTTCACATCAGATTCTGAATTATATGAGTGACATTTAGTTTTTCTCTATATGTACTTATTTATCAAGCTGCACAGCAGTCCACATGTGACTGTTTGCACAAATGAGATTTTACACTCACCTGCAGATATATTGAGTAGTTTGCATGCTGTCTCAATATCTTTTAGGACTTCCCCTACAACCATAGTTTGCATTTGTTCCAAAGAATGATCCTCTAGGTGTAGTGATGTTTGGTATTCCAGCTCATGATGAAGTCCTTGACTGTCTATAACAGGACATTGCTCAGGTTCCTTTTGAACTTCTCTTTGTCCATTTGGCAAGAGACTTTTAGGAGCCCAGTTTCCTCCATCACCACTGTACAACATGTCACAAAATGGCAGGTAGTACCCAGTTGCACCCTCTTCTGGAGGCTTATCCAAGCTAGTGAGTGAGGATTCCTGCAGCTCCAAGTGCGTCACCGTAGGAAGGTTCGTTCCACTGCTCCCCATGCCGTAGACGTGTAAGCAGCAACAACCTGAAAATCAAAATGTAAATATTCTAATTTCTACTGTAACATACCATATTCATCCAAGTTATGCTTTGTTTTGATTTTAGATCTCATTAAATGGTGATATTTCGATGAACTGAAGAAAAGCACTCCACTGAAGATGAATTACCCAGCTTGGATTTATTCACAATACGTCACACAGGTGAATCTTGTGAATAAGTGAAAATAGTTGTAAATTTTCACCCCATGTAGTCTCACCCAAAGCAGTTCCCTTTTTTGGAAATGTAGATGAAGAGATCGCTGTTATACTTGCAATGCATGTAGAAGTAAATTATTTTATATGTTTGCACTACAGATGTCACTGTGCGATACGCGTGGAGGTGGGGGATAGGAATCAAAATGCTAACAGCACCTTCATGATGTGTCTCCATTAATCAGTTGTAGGACATCAGAAACTGTGATGTGAAGAAAAGGGAGACATTCATCTGAATCAGTAGTGGGCATCTCCCTTAGATTTTGGGGGCATAGCCTGTAGCCTTCCTAGGCCTGTTTCACACCTAAGAGTTTTTGAGCAATTGGAAAAGTGCTTTTAAATGCCCAACACAAGAAATCCCATGATTTTCAATGGCCCTGGTTCACACCTGAGCAAAAAAAACGCCAGCAGGAAAAAGCCAAACGCCCGAAAAGGTACATAAACTTCTATGGACAGTTAAAAGCGCATTTTTCCCCATAGACTTCAATGGAAATGCCCACAAATAAGCGGCAGAAGCATGTTGCACATTTTCGTGATTTTTGAATGCCCGTTCTTCCATTGGCCGCAATGTTTCATAAGCTGCCAGTCAAAAGGTGTGTCTTCATGTACGCGCGTAAAAAAAACGTGTACAAACATGCTAATAACCACATGCTGCTCACGCTTAGGTGTGAACCAGGCCTAAAATGTCCGAAGTGCCATACTTCGATGACATCTGTGATTATTAGGACAGCCAAAATGCCTATTAATATGCACAGTGCCACTAAGGATGTTTACTAATAAATTATCAGTGAAATGATTGCCATATCAGTAGCTACAAATATTAGTAATGCTCAGTGATAAAGCAATACCAACAGCATTGTCCTGCTGAGAAATGCAGACCAACACCTCATTCTTATCTCCAACCCACAGCAGTTAGTAAAACAAAGGAAAAAGTTGAAATCCCATTATCTACTCTTTTCTATTTTCAAAAACTTATTGGGAGGGTGATTGGCTTTTGCCCTAATTGATACTAGTATTTTGATGCTTGTAGAAATGTGCTAAGGAAATTTAATTGCAAGCCACATAGGATAGGGACTAATGTGAATTCAGAATATGTTCTTCAAAACACTGAAAACAAAATATCAGCACAGAGTAAATAAGGTTAAATAGATAAACCACTAAACATGATTAAAATTATGCTTTATAACTTATCAATTCTGCCATGCAGCACTGGGGTCCTTGTTTGAATCCCAGCCCAGACACCATCTGCATGGGGTTTACATGTTCTTGTGCTGGCGCGGGTTTCCGTCCATGCATCAAAGACATACTGATCTAACGTGGCACTAGAATGTGTGTAGGGGTATGTGATATAGGGACCTTAGATTGTAAGTTCCTTGGGTGCAGGGACTGATGTGAACGTACAGTCAGTAAATCACTGCATAAATTGTAAGTGCTATAAATGCTTGTCAAAATAATGAGCAGTCAAAATAAAAAGACAGGACCTTGTCACAAGCAAACACATCAAGGGGCACATCTTCAAAGTCAGACTGTGAAATCTTCTCCAAATTAAATAATATGGTGCTGTATTCTCTACCCTTCCTCTCCATACTTATTGGGCGCAAGAAATTTAGTTACCCATAGTAACCATGCAAATTTCAACTCTGATCAACTTAGAAAAAATGTTTCATTGGTTGCTACAAAGCTTTGGACACTTTAAAATAACCCCGTGAGACAGATTATTAATGTATCTTGGTTGTCTTAAAATATCTTGGTTGTATGTTATTTTCCTGCTCAATAGTTATACACACAAATGTATTACTTGTCTGTGGCACTAATACATAAACCACAAAATTACCTAGGTTACATCCAGATTTCTAGAACACATTAAAACATATTGTGGCATTGGTTGCACTAAAATGCTTTCCAAAAGATGATACTAAACTACTTTATACTGAAAGACGTCAGTACTTAAAATATTGTATGTGAAGTGAAAAGTATTGAACATTCCTTTAAACTAATAGCTGTTTATGTTTCATAAGATTATGTTCAATTCATCAGTCCAATCTCTCTTGCTAATGCTATATACGTTGCTAAGTGGTGTTTAGAACACTGAAATCCCATATATTCCAGTGGATGAACATAGATAAAGACATTTCTAAGCTTGTTAAAGGGACCTTCCCTAGCATAATAAAAGACCCTCCTTTGAAGGAGTAAGACTTAAAAGATGGTGAGATGAAGTGGCAGCCATGACCATATCAAGGTCAAATGGTTTAGCCTCACAGGATAGTTTGTCATATTAACACTTATGTTACTTTTAAAATTCACTTTTGAAAGTGAGTTCAGTAAATGTTTGCTGAAGTTATGCAGTCTGCAGGAAGGCAATACAAAGTTAAACTAGATATGGCTTCTTTTGGAAGAAGCAAATGGTACCTTGGTCACTATGGTCATCTGTAGATCTAAGTCATCTATTCACATCATATCATACATACGAGATATAACTTGCAAACATACAATATACGCCCCAATGCATTATAGACACACAATGCTACATTTTCTAATCTACCAAATAATTATAAATACAACTATGCCCTAATGGGCAGCTAATGGACAACAAGTCTGTCCTACAAACATTTTAGAATGTGAAGGTGTTTGCAACAGAACACTCTATAAACAATGACACAAAAAAATCACGGGTTCTAAACGGTGACATACATCTTACAAAGACGCAGTGTCACCTGATTGTGTCATCCTAATTTTCGCAATATGGCTTATTGTTACCTGTTCCAAATAGAAGCGATTCCATGTGGTATTCATAAATGTGACACTGCTTTTGTTCAATGAACATATATGCTTGGGTATCTTCAGAGAGCCCAGCGTTATGTGAACAGGTGGATGGCAATGTTGGATCTGAGGGTACCAGTCTTAAAATTAGGTAACAGTATTCTAGAAACCCCAAATATAGTAACACTATTTTTACCTAATGGTCTTCCAGTTAGTGTGTTGTTTGGAATACAGAGAAACAAACAATGAACAGGAACCAATTATATCTGCAATATGGAAAAACATTGGCAGTGAGAGTGACTGCCAAAATATAGAGAAAATATTTCAAGCATTATATCTAGGTAACTGATTCATGTTCTAATGTGTAAAATGAAGCATTGTTCTTTTACCCCCTTTTAAGTTAAAATCAGGAACTTTACCTGTCCAGAAAGTGAAGTGCCACCTGCGGGATGTCACAGTATCATTTGTATCAACTCACTGACAACTCTCTTTCACTGCTGTTTCACGTTCTCTCACCCAGTGTCTATTCACTCTTTTTCTTTAAGGTTCTCTCTCCTCCCTCTGTCTCTCGCTGACGATGCTTTAAATCCTGGAAGAGACACGTGTCCCTTGTGCAAAGGATGTCTCTCCCATTCCTTCCTCCTTCTTTCTTTGCTTGCCTTATTAAACACCTTGCATCTCTTAACTTATTCCTTTAGTTTTTTTCTATTCCTATTCTGTATCTTTAAGACTTCCAATTTTTAAGTTTGTATCCCTTTTTTAAACTTTTTTCTTGTATCTTTTTCTAGTTATTTCACTCTTGCTATGCTTTTTGTCTGCTTTTAACTAATTTCCTTTCTATAGATGTCTTTACCTCTATCCCTTCTTTTCTGATTCCCCCTCTTTCTTCTTGCTGAAGTCCCCCTGTTTTCACCTTCTGTCTTTTCCTTTCTTGCTTCTTATTCTCTTTTTCTCTTCTCTCCAGAGAAATCATCTTAGTTTATATAGTGCTGTCCCGTACCTGAGTAAACACACCCTGTATGCTCACATTTAACAGGTGCAGGACCTGCCCGCTTAACTCTTCAGTGACACATTGTGACATGTAGCTAAAAAACTGATAACAGCCAAGTCAAGAGCTAGAAATTCCAGTAACTTGTATTTGCCAACAAATGTTATCTGTAATTGCTGTGACATATATACACAGGTACATGTGAATTAATTTGTAATACTACACATAAGATTTAGGCTACATTATCACCTTTGCATTTGGTATGGCATGGTTAAAATCTTGCTTGCTGCATCTTTGGTGCGATTTTAAGCAAAACTTCCTTAGAGATGATAAACGCTTAAAATGCGTTGCACAGCAACTGTCTGAAAAGCAAATATGTATAAATGTACTCTTAATTAACATATGCACCAAGTATCATGTATATGGCTTGACCCAATTTTACATGCAGGTTCAAATTGGGCATGCACAAGCCGATGAGGACTGTGTATCAAATAACTGTATCTTTTGAAAATAATTTTGCATCGAATGTATGCATTCAAAATATAGTAGATGCTGTGTAACATGCACTAGGCAGCACCTCATCCAGTAAAGAACAGTGGAAATGTAAACAAATTTCCTAACCCACTTGGTCCCAAAACCCTGTGTTGACTCCCCCATACAAAGTGCAATTCATGTGTAAAAAGTAATCTACATGGCCAGTTTTAAAGAGACTTTATTTTCATATCTTTCATTTCGATTGGGATCAATGAAACACAAACAAACAAGTAACTAATGTCAAAATAAAAAATGCCTTTCTTTTGATGACCCCTAAGGCCATGAGAGTCTGATCCAGAAGATCCTTTCTAAAGCCCCAGAATAAACTATCCTGCTATAACACCAGCATTGTAATAGGAAAACATACTAGAGGTTTTTTTGATAACGCAATCAAAGATTACTTGAAAAATTTCCTTTTATGTAGTGAGTGCTGCCTTCGGTATGCCCATCACTTTTAATAACTTCCTGAATTCCACGTGTGCTTTTCATCTCTTTCCCTGCTGCTTGATGTGAGGCAATCTTGATTTCTCAAGACTACATATCCCATCACGCATTGCTAACAGCAAGTAATGGCAATGTTACATTGTTCAGACACTGAGTTATAGTTCAGAAGGCAGGCTCTGTGAGTTTTGACAGTAAGAAGTGCATATTCACAGGGCTGAGTTAAATTAAGTCAGTGCATCGGGGAAGTACATCCTATGGGCATCTCCAATAAGTAAGTTTACAAACTTACAAATTAGGAGTAGGATCAAATTTCTGGAAATTCAATATATAAATACAAATTCATTTTTGACCATAGATACCCTTTAATAAATTCTGCACAATGTTGAAATATTTCTTGGCCTTTCTGGTTTTTATTACTACTAAATTCCTGCTTGTTTCTTACCCCAAGCACTTAAAAACAAAATAGCACAGTAGAAGGTCGATAGAAAAAAGTGTACTGTTGTATTCACTTTATTATAATATTGGTTGTTAAATTCCCCAAGCAAGGCTCTGGCTGTATCATATTTATCACTACCAATAATGAGCGCACCATTTATTTGACATATTGCCATTCATTTGAAGGTGAATCATCTTCTTCCCTCCCAGCACACTTGTCAACATACATATTGATACTACATATGCTCCAAATATCTAGAGACAACTCCTTAAGGCTGGGTTCACACCTGGGCGTTTTCCAGCACTGATCGAAGCGCTGAAAAACGCTCAGCAAGTGAAATCCCACAAATTCCTATGGGCATGGTTCCCACCTGGGCGTATTTCAGCCCGTGGAAACGCGCTGAAAAACGCCCTACTCCCAAACAAGTACAGGAGCTTCTTTGGGGTATATTTCAGCGCGTATCCATTGTTATTCCCGAGTGTCACATTCGGCAATACAGCGTAGGTCTTACTTTGTCTTACCTTGTCCGCGATCCCCGCTGTGTCCTCCGGCTGCTGCTGTCTTCTGGGTTCCGTCCCTTGTGAGCGTCCGCGTCGCAGGGGGGCGGAACCGGCGGGATGTTTGAAAGTTAAAAAAAAAACCCCGAAAAAAAGATAGAGAAAATAAAGGGAAAAAAAATCAGACGGCCAGGGAGGTATAAAAACGAGCGTTGAATGCGAGTTTCACTGACCGAAAAAATGTGCTAAAAACCCCCCCAAAAAAGAGCTGAAAAACGAGCAGAAAAAACGCGCCTATAGTACGCCCAGGTGTGAATCTGTTGCCACAAGGCATCTGCTACTTTTGATTCTATCACTTTTTCCTGCAAACATCATAGGCTTCGGCTTTATCCTCAGGAGCTGGGAGTTGTCAAAACTGTAACAGGGCATTTTCACATGATCTGTCTAATTGAGATTCTGTTAAATGATAACAGTATAACACACCCAAGATGTGGAACTCAAGATGTAGCCGTTTCCATAGAGCTTGGTGACACAACAATGGCCAAAAGTTTCCAACAAAGCATTCTCTACTCTTGCACTTTACTGCAACCATTCTAGGATAGAAGACGTTGCAGAAATTGTATGGTGCTGAGGAAAATGTTATAATAAAAAAGTACTACGTGAATGATTATACAGTATGTACTCATCACTTGGCCACAATGGGTGTTTCTTTGTGAGGTTTGTATACCTTTAAAACAGACACATTTGAACAGGTGTGAAAGTTTGTGACGCATGTAACTACTAAGAAGAGAAATTATCCTTTGTGTTAGTTTTTCGTGCATAAAAAGGATTTAATTTAAAACGTTAAAAGAAATGTTCTACGGCAGTAGTTTACTACCTTGTGTGAATTCTTTATTTACTGGACAGTTAGTAGAAATCAACTTTCCTGTAAGAAAAGTACTTAGAAATGTAGGCATACGCGCATTAGAAATACGTGTGCAAGCGTGCCAATGGATTAGCGTGAGGGCACACAGGAATTAGTGTCGTAAATAATTTAAATATTTTTATTAAATACTTGTTTTCACATTTGTTCATCCTTTTTTGCATCTTAGTGTTCCTGATCTCCTGCAGTCTCTATGCCACAAGCTCCTGTCTACATACATGCACTCCAGCAATGATTGCATTGCATTTCAAAGGGTGGGTTTCCTGTTGTCAATGGTAAAACATGATCATAAGGCTAAAGTATCAAGGCATAGCTCCTTACTTTACATACAAGCTGCCTTTATCGCCGTTTTATTTTAACTGGTGAATATCTAATTTGGAACAAAAATAAGCTAAAATTATATGCTCAAATTTCCCTGGAGGGCAAAAAAGTATTTCAGACAGTAAAGGTGGAGGCCAATACAATGCCTACAGAGTAGTGAGTCCTTTAATGAAAGCTCCAAGTTTGTTCAATGAAAATGTCAATATATTCTCCCTAGTCCCTCCCACACCTTCAACTGTTTCAACATTTTCCCAGACTCTTCAATCTCCACCTCATTAAAAAAAAAAAAGTTAACGCTAATGCACATAGACCAGAGGTAGAATAATTGTAGTAACTGCTATGAATTTAGAATTTAAATAGCCTTTTAGTTTGTCTTTTGTTCAAAAGTTAGACTTCTTTTCACATTCTAGATTTTTTTTTTTCTGGGTCAATACATTTTTATTGAAATTAGAATAAGAGTAAGGTAAGTTACAGCAGTTCCTGAGACATTGATTTGCATCAAAATATACTACAAAAGATTTGAGGAATCTTAATGACATCGATCTAATAGTATAGTCTGGCACCCGGTTTTCCGATGGTTTCAAAAATGGCACTTGGTGTGTAAAAGGTTGCTGACCCCTGGTATAGAGTATAACCTTAACTGCATTGGCAATAGTCACTGTGGTTATACACCGATGACAAGCAATATTTATTGGCTTACAGCCAACAGGAGCATGAGGTACAATAAATTCTTAATACAAAGGGAAATGAGAGAAGTAGAACAGATTAACAGAAGAAAAAAGGTAACATAGAGAAGGTAAAAGAGTGAGGAACAGGAGGGGGCAGAATCTCTGGGGATCCCACGAGCCTTAAACGACCCTATCGATCTAGAACCCAGTTTATGAGCAAGCTAACCGACAACTAATACCACAAAAACAATACCAAGTTTATTTAGGTAGACTTAAAATAATGCTACTGTTAAGCAGTTACATTTCAAAAACCCAAACAGTGATTTGGTTGGTAAGGACAGCAAATCAATTTGACATTTAGCCCAGTTCACAACTGAACTGAACTGGAGAGAGTCCAGAGAAGGGCAAAGAAACTGATAAAGGGGCTGAAGGGCCTATTCTATGAGACAAGTTTGCAAACCTTAAACTTGTTTAAGAGGGGACATGATTCTGATGTACAAAATGTTTATTAGTAATGGTAATATCAGTAATAAACTTTTTACTGTAAACTCACTAAAAAAAACAAGAGACCACCACTTGAAATTGGTGGAAAATAGGGTTTAGCCCCAAAGGGCGTAGGAGATTATTTTCTGTTAGAGCGGTAAAATTGTGGCACTCTCTTCCACAAGTAGTGGTATCAGCAGAGAGTATGGAATCATTCAAGAATTGATTAAATACTTTCCTCAGAGACCAAAACATACAGGGATACAGGTTCTCTTAATGACTAGAACACTCAAACACTCACACACACATGCTCACAAAGGTTGAGCTCATTGGATCTGTGTCATTATTCAAACTCAAATACTATGTAACTATAGTATATCGCAGAGGTGCTGCAGGGTGTGTTGTTGGGTGCTGCA